ATGGATTACCGCCGTCGGCGTGGGGACTTGATCTTTACCCGTCGTATCCTCAGGGGAGAACTGGGGAGAGAGTTGCAGGAATTCTTCCACCTCAACATCGGGAATTCGACTAGAGGCCACCAATGGAAACTATTCAAGCCACGGAGGCTCAAAGTACGGTCCATTCTTGCTCTATCCACTCGCGTTGTGAATAATTGGAACCGGTTACCGCCGACAGTCGTTGATGCACAGACAGAGGATTACTTCAAACGACTGCTTGATACACACCTGTTGAATATGCCGGGATCGTGTTGCTTCAGCTACGAGTGCGACGGCCTCTCCGGAGTTCCCGTTGCGCAATGACGAGCATCCCAGCAATGATCGGGAAGCGATGGAGCTGACAAGGGATTTCCCCTCCTGCTCTCTACTACCCCAATGAACCCAATGAACCCAATGGTCATGTCCTTGAAGCTTGCTAAGACGACCCCTCCAACGACCTTACCCGCCTTTACCTGTGACCTTGGGTGTATGTGGTTTCTGTCTCTACAGTTGTCCATTCGACCATTGATTGTATATACATCATTTACGAGCTGATAAATCGTTATATTTGCCAGTACATTTTCTACAGAGCTCATATCTAAGATGGACTGGCTAATGGGTAAGGCTCGCGGTGTTGGAAAAGGTTTGATGAACACTGGCGCCCCATCAAATTTGATTGCTGAGCTAACCCAGCATAGTATTGAATCCACTGTCAACCATAGTGTTTGTTCAAACGATGTTGAGTGTAAACATATTGGTGTCGCTTTACGTGAAGCTGTGGTTTCCCCCAGTTCTCGTAGCCTGTCCCCCGTAAATCTCTCCTCTCCAATGGATGCGTCGTCCTCACCGACTCAGAAAGCTACCCAAGGAACCAACTCCGCTTCTTCAACATTGGAATCCACTTGCAGTTCGTCTGACGTTCCTGTATTTATGCAGGCTAAATACGTATCTCAACAGATACCTTCGGCCGATCCAAAACATATAGACTTCCGGGACCTTGTAGAGCCTTTTCCTGCCATGGATCTTAACGAGTGGCTGGCAGCCCACACAATTGCTCTTTTTGAAAATATGAGCACTGTCTTCGATGCCATCCAAGAACTTTGCACATGTCCTCACTTGGTTCCAAATCATGGCATTTCTGTCCCTTGCTCTTCCGCATGTACCAATGTACGCGAAGGGTTCGTCTCAGACGACGATCGCTGTAAACGAACAAAACAAACTTTCTCCAGTAGCACTGGTTCCGCCCGTCAGGAAATTGACAGCGCGTTGTCGTCGTGTCATGATCTGATTCAGTCTTCCGCCATCTTCCCGGTTCGAAACGGTGACCACTTTCCCACCGAACTCCCCACCTATGTGACGGTTATATGTAGAAATCTACTACTTTGTATCATTCACTTATATCTGGGCCACTTTCATCACTTGGAGCAGTTAGATTTACTTCCTCACGTTAACACCCTCACTAAACATTTTTTTGCGTTCACAACTAGATTTTCGTTAGTCGAAGATAAGCACGTTGCCCCACTTCTAGGTTTTGGTCGTCTCCTGAACCAAGAACCTGATCATTTAACAGTTGATCCATCTGAATAACTGGCTCAACGCACAACTTTGCCGATGACGCTTTGTCTTCCGTCCCAGGCTACCCGTGTTGGCATTTACTTATTTACAAATATGCACGTGCAATAATCTGTGTTCTGTTTTTCTTTATCTTTTCTTTTAAATTCTTCAGTCAGAGCATTCTTAGTAGTCCTGCGACTGTTCTTACCTGGATCTATGACCGCATTCTCCCACGTCCTTTCATTTCATTCGAATCTGCTTAACATGTCCTGACTTTACCTATGTTCACATTTGGTTGCTTTGGAATCATCTGCTGGGCATTTTTAATTCGTCGTTTCGCGAAATTTGATTGGTTAATTATCTGTTACGTGCTGTTTGATCATGTATAAACACAGTCTTTAAACACGCACTTGCGTATGCTGATTTTGTCCCATAACGTTGGGCACTCCGGTTGTCACGTTCTGTAATTGTGTTAATTGTGACCCGGTGTAAACGCTTGCTTTAAAATGCATTGATGTGATACGTAGGGTAATAGAGCCACGCGCGTAAGGAAACGATATCCGTTGTCTCTCGGTGGGCGTTTATTTCCCAAAGGCCACCTAGTCCTCTTTCTTTCTCCAACAAACGAATCGCTTAGACGTTCATCTTTCGTATTAAGATCACAATATCCTTACTTATAACATTGTCATCATTACACATTGCCTGAAGGTTAGAAATGCATTGCAGCCAATATGCCATAATGCAAGATGGGAAATATTAAAAAGCGAAGTGCAGAACTTTGCAGATTACTGCATATATATATACATGCCAACAAAGTGATTTGCTGCTCAGTATCATATTACGCGTGGGAGAACGTGCTTGGAGGTGGAAGGTAAGCGGGAGGGCGTGAGGCGTAGAAACTCACAACACGAACGCCATTGGAACCAGTTATTTACCATGTCAACGAGTATATTCAACACGTGTTCATCGCACTTAGAACCACAACGCGGCAGTCTAGAAACACCAACCGACACAAAATTCAAAGTGCGGATCTTCTTTGCTATTGACCAAGTCATCTCTTGGCCTCCCCTCCTCTTCCATTCGCATCCCGGTCGCGCAAACCACGTCGCAGGAGTCGGCGTGCTTTCATGCGTAACATTGTCTAGCCATCGGGGCCTGGTGATGCTATAATGGTGCTGAGCGGCTCATTTACTCTTTCTGCACCAAATACACGAGGCCGAACACGCTCATTGCTCACGCGATTCCCACTAGATGAGAACTTTGCTGCAAAGATAGCAATGATCGAACTAAACTACCCTCTTTAGGTTTGTCGATTTGGTGGGCCATGTTTCGCATCCGTAAAAGAGAGTTGAGCGGACGGATGCATTGTAAACTCTGTCCTTCATGGGCAGCGGGCAAATCCTCATGTGGTATGTCTAATAGCCAACATGGACATTGGGTCTCTTCTCGGTCTCTGGAACTTATCGACGCTCGCCGGCATATCCCGGCTGGAAGCGAGCACAATGAAAATCGCAAAGAGCTCCTGGCAAAACTCCGCGCTAGCCTGAAGGGAGACCGCGAATTTTGGTGGTCTCATCGTGCGTCAGAGATGGAAGTGACCGCTGCCCTTGGCAACCATCGCAAGATATTCCGCGTGGTACGGGAAACGGGCAGCAGAAGACCTGGTGTTAGTGAAACAATTTGTGATGAGAGTGAACAGCCTATCCACAATTTGTCAAAACGTTTGGAGCGTTGGGCTGAGCATTTTGAAAAGCAATTTAATCGGCTAGAATTGTTCGATTCGCCGGTCACTGATCGCCCTGCACCGTGGGCTGTCCCTTTGGATCTACCCTCTTGCTCAGAAGTCGAACGTGAGATCGGACTGCTGAAGTTAAACAAATCCGCGAGACCAGATGATCTTCTTTCAACCCTCTTCAAATTCGGAGACTGCTCTTGTTGATGCTTTACATGAATTACTAGTAAAACTGTGGGAGCAAGAGACTGTCCCAACCGACTAGAGCCGCTCCGTTATTGTTCCCATCTCCAAAGGCGACTCGCGCTCGGAATGCGGCATCCATAGAGGAATCAGTCTGATCTCCATCGCCTCCAAATTACTTGCCTCCATCATTCTTCACAGACTGACTGGCGCTCGTGAAAGCCAGATTCGTGAGGAGCAAGCCGGGTTTCGTCGTGGTCGTGGCTGCATCGACCACGTCTTCATTTTGCGTCAGTTGTTGGAGCACCGTCACACCGTAGTCGTGTTCCTCGACATCAAAGGTGCCTTCGATTCGGTTGATCGATGTGCCCTTTGGAATTGTTTACTCAGGAAAGGTGTGCCCGAGAAATATGTAAATATTATCCAAGCATTATATGCACGTAGCACAGGCAGAGTGAGGGCTTACGGCAAGCTGTCGCCACCCTTCAATATCTCCAGCGGTTTGAGACAAGCATGCCCGCTGTCCCCTTTCCTATTCAACTTCGCTATTGACGAAGCCATGGAGTTTGCATTTACAGGACATGACTTTGAAGGTGTGGAGCTACTCCCAGGAGAACGACTTCTTGACTTGGAGTATGCAGACGACATTGCCCTCATCTGTGACAGCTCCCAGACGTGCCAAGCCGCGCTGGACAGATTAGCACTGGCGGTCAGTCGCCTCGGGCTTTGCTTTGCACCATCGAAGTGCAAAGCGTTCCTCCAAGATTGGCAGGGATCGCCTCCTTTGCTGACCCTTGGTGGCGATCAGCTAGAAGTCGTTCAGAAATTCAATTACCTGGGAAGTTGTATCAGCGCCCTTGGGATCGAAGACGAGATCACGAACCGTATAGCGGAAACACAAAGTGCTTTTGCTAACCTTCGCCACCTTTGGTGGCGGTGCGACATTACTCTGCCCTGAAGGGTAGAGTGCACAATGCAGCGGTACGTTCGACCTTACTGTACGGTTGCGAAACCTGACCCCTAAGATCGGCCGACATGAAGAGGCTAGTTAAGTTCGACCATCGGTGCCTTCGCAGTTTGGCTCACATCTGGTGGGAACACCGCGTGAGTAACGAGCGTGTTCGATGCCTTGTTTACGGCCCAGGAAAAGGGAATGAACCGCTCAGCACCGTTATTTCCCGCACCAGGCTCCGATGGCTCGGCCACGTGTTACGCATGCTAGCCCACCGACTCCCTCGACGAGCGTTGTTTGCTCACTGGGGATGTGGGTGGAAGAAGAGGAGAGGTGGCCAGGCGATGACTTGGTCCAGGGGAATGAAGTCCCTCACTTCGGAGCTAGCCTCAGTTGGAGCGTCACGGCTTCCTGGTTGGGTTCCCAAAGACGGTGAACACGTTTGGCTGGATACACTTGCTGACATGGCAAGGAGCCGACCTCAGGGGCGTTTGTGCTGTCAGTTTCTTTTTCCCTCCCCATCCCTTTTAGCCTCCCCCTCCATCCACGATCTCATTTCGTTGAGTAAAACATAATTTTTTCTTTTTGCCGAGTAGCTGGCTGGTAGCTTACCGGAACGATGCCTATCCGTTGCTGGTAGCTCAGCTGGCATGCAACTGTTATATCTATTTTTCCCTTGTGTATTGTATTATATGTATGTATTTCCTTCATGTATTGCGGCACAGTAGCGTAGGTGTTTTCCCACCTCTAGCTGATGTGTATAATTATGAATGATGATGACTTCATGGGAGAGTAACGTCGCGCCTGTGCCACAGGCGGCGGAGATTGACAAAAGCGTCGCGAGCTTTTGCTATACGGTTAGTGTTCTCACCTTCGATCTCACGGGCACTAATATTGCTGTCCAGATACTTGAACTTCTGACGACTTCTAGCTATTCAGCGCAGGGGTGGGTCCTTGTCACTCTTGGAGAAGGACTTTGTAGTTCGACGGTTAAAAGCATAGCCCGAAGTGATTGACAGTTAAAGCTAATTGATCCAGTGCTGCTTGACACGTTTGGGAACCGTCACAGATAAGTAGAATATCGTCAACTTACTCCAGCTCAAGGAGTCAGTCACCTGGGAGAAGCTCCACAACTTTTAAGTTGTGTCCAATGAATGCACTTTCCATGACTTCGTCGATGGCGAGCAGTCTTGTCTCACCTCGCCGGAGACATTGGAGGGCCGCAACAGCTTGTCATAAGCGCCCATTATTTTACCATCTTTGATGGAAGCTTTCGATATACCTTTTCTGGTGTTCTGAGCTGCCAATTGTAAGAACCTACACGTAAACATGATTGTAGTGCTACTGTAATATGTTCCGTAGCGCAGGTTCGTGGTACCAACAAGGACTGCGGATGTAAACGCATATACGACGGCGATGCTCCGATGAGGCGAATACCAGAACGAACGAACGGAGCGGAAACACGTGTATTCGGCGACACGACCGGAGCAAGTGTTTTTCGGTACAAGCGTAGATAAAACAAGTAGCTTTGGCAAAGGCGACGCGGCGATGGTTTTACCGTTTGTTTCGACATGAATAAGATACACATCAAGATAAGAAAGGGAATAACGCGGGAACTAAAAATACCGTATGGTTTAAACGAACCAGTGTGCTTTCATTTGCGTTACACTACTCTTACGCTGCCTGTTAAGTGGCGTTCCTACTGCTTACTCACGCTGAATTGTACTTCCAGATCGCCCTCTGAATCACTTAGTCATGCACCCATGTTGTTAGACTTCGTATTTATTCGATCTCACCCTACTCCGGAGATTTCTGGGAATCACACTGTCATCTTTCACAACATTTCACTTATTCCGGACAACAGCATTCGGGTCCACTTCGACTTGATTCATATAGACTGAGGGTCTACGGTTTTCTAACGGCGACAAGACACAACACGCACTTCTTTGGTATCGTTCGGTTAAAACCAAGTAGTCCCCTGCCGGCAGTTTGTCGAAAGGATTGCACGCTTGGCTTGCAACCCCTAGGTCACCGGTTCGAATCCGCGTAGGGGCAGGCGTTCTCGCGGTTTGCTTAGCCTATGCGCGACCGCTGGTGGTCGCGTGGCAGCGAAGTGTCGGTACAGCCTGCCGGCGTATTGTTGACGACATTTTTTAACCCCTGGCA